TATCATTTCCCATACTTTTTAGAAATAGATTAAATACTCTTTTCATTTTCTATTTGATAATTAAAAAATAGTGAAATGTATTTTTAAAATTATGATGATGTAAAATTACATGTTTTAATATATGATCATCTTTCAGGACAATTAAATATAGCTTATCTAATATAAGACATCCTCAGAATATTGGTTTTTACTTTTACCTCACTAATGAAGGTTAAAGATTAAGACTCAGGCCCACATATGTAAACATCATATTGTCTCCCTAGTGTAAGAACTTGAAAAAGTAGATAAAATCTGAATGATACAATAGATATAGTAAAAGGGAGAGGAACTAAACATAAAGTATAACTAGGATGAGGGAAAGGAGAAAAGATAGAAAAAAAAGGAGAGAAATCATGTATGTGATTAGGATAGCTAAGATGATTATACTACTAATTTTTATCAGTTTTTTTAAGGTAAGACATCCTTTTTTGAAGGTAGCAGTTAATGCTTAAAATTTACTTTGACCGACTTTATATGCTTATATTTGTAATCTGAGCAACTACATTGAAGTCAGCAATGTGCAATATATCAACCCTGTTGAATTCCTGTCATCTTATTTTTTTTCGTTATGTGTCATTTCTAATGTCTTTGTATTTTTTTTATTCTCTTTAAAAGGTGCTTTAGACTCCTTCATGATGTGTTGATCTGTTGAGGTCAAAGCAGTACATCAATTCTAGACTTCTGGTCCAAAACTCTGGAGAAAACCTACCTAGCTTAATCTTAAAAATAAGTCAACGGGCCAGCCAGATAGCTCATGATCTAAGTGCCTGCTTGGCAAGCATGGAAACTGGTGCTCCATCCCTGGTACCATGTGCCATGCTGGCCCTGCCCCTGGGCACACTGAGTGGGCCACCAAGACCAAGTGTGGTGGCAAATGCCTGTAATCCCAGTGCTGGGGAGGCTGAGAACAGGAGGATCACTATGAGTCTGAGCTGCATAGTGAGACCCTGTACCAAATATATATATATATATATATATATATATATATTAAAAATAAATGAAACAGAATGTTTACAGTTAAGGTACCAAAAACATTTTAAAACATTACATATTATGCAAACACTAAAATTATCAATTTAAACATCTACTGAGCAGCACAGTAATGTACATAAAGTATGGCATAACCTTTCACTTGCTACTCTTCACATATTCTGGGAGATAGGCAAATGGCCAAGAAAATAAAAACAAAGATAGTTTTAAATAACTTTTATGACATAATTCTGTAATAACTTCCTACTACTTCTATTTACATCAGAGTAACGCATTTAACAGTCTAATGATTAAAATATAGATATAGATTTTTAAGCAGTAATGGATTTAATGTTAGTAATTGCTTTTTTCATTTTGAATTATTTGATTAGATTCTTGAGTTTAATATTACATTAAAATTTATAGATATGTTTGAGGTAGTAATTCACAAGACTTTAATTATAAGTAGATAACTCATTTTACATACTCTATTTTGCTGTATGTTCTTAAAATACAAATTATTTTAAAACATGAAATACTTAATATATCTCAAGTACATATAAAACAATAGGAAAAGCAATCCATTTCAACAGAATAAAAATATTATGCCAACAATTTTAATTATTTTAAAACATAAAATACTTCTCAAAAACCATAACGTTGTTGGCATAACATTTTTATTGTGTTGAAAAGGTTTCCTTTTTATTCCAGGGAGATGGCTTAGCTGTCTAAGCGCCTGCCTAATAAGCACAAAGATCTGGGTTCAATCCCTGGTACCACATGCTGTGCTGGCCCCAGAACCCAGGCGCACCATGCTGGCCACTGAAACTGGGCATACTGGCTCATGCCTGTAATCCCAGCGCTGGGGAGGCTGAGACAGGAGGATCACTAGTAGTCTGAGCTGCATAGTGAGACCCTGTACCATTCCTTTTCATGTTGTGTCATATATGTGAAGCCTCCCACAATATTAGGTTGCAAACTTTAATCAGGTCAGGTCTCATTCTTGATTTGATGAATTTCTTCTCAAATAATGTCATACAACCCAAAGGGTTATCATTTGCTAAAAGGTGTCCAGATAATTTGTACCAAAAGTTTGGGCTTCAAAGCTCTTAACTTACTTAGTACTTTTTTTTTTCCTCCTGTTTTATATTCTCTTGGTTCCTTTCTTTTTTTTTTTTTCCGGCGGAACCGGGGATTGAACTCAGGCCCTTGCGCTTGCCAGAGAAGCGCTTATTCCACTGAGTCATCTCCTTAACCCCATCTCTTGGTTCCTTTCTGAGTAAAATTGGTGCACATTTTTCCTTCTGTAATTACAGATAAGAAGTTATGGTACAAATAATATTTTCTAACTTTCATTTTTTTAATCTATAAATTTTGTTGATATTTCTGTATGATTAAATCTTGTTCTGTAACATCATTTTTAAACACTGAAAGCATTTAACACATGTGAATGAACTATAATCTACTTAACCAATCTCCTGTTCTTGTTCTTGTTTTTTTTTCTAATTTTTATAGGCACAGCTTTAAGAGTCTATATAACTAAAATATTGCATACATCATTTCATCAAGATTAATTCCTAGAAGTACATTTGTTGTCTAGGAAAGAATATAAAATCTTGTCTGCCTTATGGAAAGCCATGACCGCACAATCTATGTGTGCTCGTGTTCCTAAACCCATGTAACCTTTTATCTTTATTATTTGTCAATGTGGTGAGAAAATGCTTTACTATCTTCTTGTTGAATAAGCAATTATTTGATGACCAGGGAGGCTGAACATTATTTTATGTAATACTATTGATACTAACAGTCAGAAGGGGCATTTTCTAAAACTCTGTAAGTTTTCTTATAAGGAAGACCCAGATTGCACCAATCTAAACGTATCCACATTCTTATTGTAGGTTTACAATGATGACGTTAGACTTACAGAAATACAGTATTTGCTCAATTGAATGAAGGGGAAAAGCAATCAAAACTGATCAAATTTCATTTGAAAATAAAGAATATTACTGATTGTTATAAGTAGGTGCAATTACTTTACATGATTTCTTTTCATAGTTTATTTTGGTTTTTTATATAAGAGTCACAATGAAATAAATCTTACTGAAACTACATATTTCCTTTCATGAAATCTACATTTCTAATGTATTTAATGTCTTAGATTTTGTACATTTACATTCCTTTCAAAGCCAGCTCAACTCACTTGAATTGGAAATCTTTTTATCGATGCATGATTTTCAATTATTTGGTAAATGATCGTTTACCTGATGTATGAGATGTTCCTTGAAAGGCTTCTGTGAAGTTAGAAGCCTTAAGATGTTATCAGTGGGAAATTGTCCGTATTAAAATAGTTTTACCCAGGGCCACAGATTTAGCTCAGAGGTACAGTACTTCCTGGCAGACGTGAGGTCCTGAGTTCAATTTCCATACCCACCCCTCCCCCAATAAAGAGTTGTCCATCGCTATACAAGAAATTGCCCCAGTATCCAGCTTAGAAGAGCAGATATTGGTCTCATGTGTTCTCTGGGGGTCATGGAAGCATTAGGAGCTCAGCTGGCCGGGTCAGGCTCTGGTCTCTGAGGAGGTTGCAGCCAATCTGTTAACCAGGGTTAGAGCCTAGGAAGGCTTGACGGAGTCTAGAAGGGCTGGGCTTCTCTCCTGTAACTAAGCAGGCCTGGGATCCTTACCTCCAAATCTCTCTACAGAGCTGCTCAGCAGACATGGCCTCCTCAGGGTCAGTTGTTTAGAGGAACACTTCAGGGAAGGAAGGGAAGAAGGGAGGAAGGGAGAGAGAAGAGAAGGAAAACAGAAGTGGGAGAGAAAGGTAAAGGAGAAGAATACAATATAGAAACCTTGTTTTATCATGGAATGAACTAAAAAATGAGGGATCATCATCTTTTCCACAATCTCTCAACCTTAGAGGTCAATTCTGTTACAATGTAGAAGGGGAGATGGGTAGGCAAGTAGGCAGGCAGGCAGGTAGGCAGGCAGGCAGGCAGGCAGGCAGGCAGGCAGGCAGGCAGGCAGATAAGAGAGGGATTGGGATCTATTTAAATATTACTTCAAAGAAAAGTACTGCTATACAATAGGTTAAAATAAATGATGTCATTGTTACTTATATCAAAACCTGTCAGTTTCTCTGTCTGTAACTCTGATTTAGAAATAAAAAAATCCATAATTGTCAATTGACTAAACCTAAACGTCATTTAAAGAGGTGCTCCAATTCTTTCCTTTTGTTAATATTTCTTATCTTCATTGTTTTCTGAAAGGTTTAAATACAATTCCTTTTAATTTTAAAGAAAATGATTGCATTATATAATTTTAAATGTTTAATTGTTTTCTTATATATGAATTCCTTCCTGTATATATATATATATATATATATATATATATATATATATATATATATATATATATATACTTTAGTAACCATAAGGAATTTAACAATTAACTTTATCTTTCAATCATATAAATTCTTTTTTTTTTTGTGGTCAGCTCAGCCTGCTCTGGGGTTGGTGCTGGTGTGGCATTTGGTGCTGGGGATTGAACTGTGGTCCCTGCACTTGCCTAAGCAGATGCTTTAGACCGCTGAACTATTTTGTTGGCCCAATATAATTCTTTACCCCTCAGTATGTCTTATTTTTGGAAAGTTTCAGTATTTCTCCTTTTTGTCCCAGGGATTTAAAATGAGAAACACTTCAGTAGTAACCTCATATACAAAGAATTGTGTAATAACTTTAATATAGCCTATTTTATTGTCGAATTTTTTCCATTTTTGGATTAGCACAGACATAATTGAGGATCAGGTATATAGCCTCAGTGACACAATGCCTGTCTGTCACGTGAGCACAAAGTCCTGAGTTCAATTCCTGGTGCAAGTGAGAGGGAGCAAGGGAGAGAGAGAGAGAGAGAGAGAGAGAGAGAGAGAGAGAGAGAGAGACAGAGACAGAGACAGAGAGACAGACAGAGAGAGACAGAGATTTCATTGTATAACCATGTCTTTTTATTGTAGGTCTCCTAAAAACCCACAACAGAAAATCATTAAGAGGGTGATTGCTCTGGAAGGAGATATTATAAGGTAAGTACTGTTGTTAAATTCAATTATAAAATATGCTGATTTTTTATTTCATTATAAATCACATTACTTGGAAAACTCATCTCAATACAAGGAATGCTAGAGCTTTGAGACATTCACCACAGGTTGCTGCTGCTTTTGTGGGCATTGCTTGGCATTTTGAAATGTAAAGCATACATATGTAAGCTGAATGACCATGTCATTATTCTGAAATTGTGAGGCATAAGAAAACATACATTCAACAAAAGTTAACCGTTTGTGTGACCATTAAATCACTGTTCGTCAGATATTCAATTTAGCACAATTATTTTAAGATTATGATGGCAAAGTACATTTTAGAACAAACTTAACTCCACATCACTAGCCATCCATGAAATCCAAATTAAAACAACACTGAGATACCATCTCACCCCAGAAAGAATGGCTATCATAAACAAATCAACTAACAACAAATGTTGGAGAGGCTGTGGGGAAAAATGAACCCTTCTCCACTGCTGGTGGGAATGTAGACTGGTGCAACCATTATGGAAATCAGTGTGGAGACTCCTTAAGAAACTAGGACTGGAAATCCCATTCAAACTAGCTATCCCCTTTCTGGGAATTTTCCTGAAGGAACCAGAGGAATGTCATCGATAGTGTGGTGTGTGCCTAAGGAGAGTCACATGGAGATAGAACATTCTTTCAGGCTTTCACAGAGAGCAAATTGGTCAAGCAATGGCCATGACTCATCCACATGGCTGACACTGACAAAGGAACTACATAGTGCGGTACAGGATTTTGGGATGAGTCCTGAGGGGACTTGGCTGACTGTGTCAGATACAAAAGTTACATTTTTTTATTATATAAGTCTTGCTTTATCTTGATCTTAACCATTCAGCAGAGAAGTGTAGAAATGAGGTGTGAAAAGTGAAGCCAGGTTAATATGCTGGGCTGTGGAAGCCTAAAGTCATCAGATTTGGATATTGTCAGTCCTGTGGATAAACCACTACTATTGTGGAATACTGGACTATACTGGAATATTTTGCTGAATTCATGCACGTACAATATTTGGATGGTAATGGAATATCCATCTCTGATAAAACTGAACAGAAAAAGGTGATATAAATGAAGGACAATTTTGTATCTGTATATACAAAATAGTTAGGATAGATATGTAGCTACTTTCTCTTAATTCAATAGAGAAAAAGATCTGTACTAATAGTATCTGGGCATGATATCATGTCTGCATCTTGTGTTATGAATGACTACTACAAAGACAACAATATGCAGTGTATTAATTCTTGTAACTTTCCTACCAACCTGTTTTGAAGCTGTCACATGGCAATTTTTTCTCAATAAAATTAATCAAAAAAAACCTTAAGAACATTTTATGGGCCGGGGAGATGGCTCACTGGAATAAGCGCTTCCCTGGCAAGTGCAAGGGCCTGAGTTCAATCCCCAGTTCTGAAAAAAAAAAAAAAAAGAAGAAATACCTAAGGACTTTATGGGCCAGGGAAATGGCTCAGTGGAATAAGTGCTTCCCTAGCAAGTGCAAGGACTTGAGTTCAATCCCCGGTTCCGAAAAAAAAAAAAAAGAACATTTTATTACTTTAGCAGCAAATACAAAGGCCAGGAAGAATCCTTTTTATAATTACAGAAATATAAGAAAATTGCAAAGCATGTGAAGCTTAAACTACTGAACGAACAAGAATATAATTTGTAAATAATAAAATTATTATAATCTATGTTGAAACAACATATTTATTATCTTTGTCAGTAAATCAAGAATATTTGATAAAAGGGAAGGCCAGATAGCTCAGTGGACTAAAGCACCTGCTTAGGCAGAGTCCAATGGCCGGGGTTTGGTCCCTGGTGTGCTGTGCTAGCCCCGCCCCTGGGATGCTTTGAGACAGCAAATGAGACTGGGTGTGGTGGCGCATGCCTGTAATCCCAGCATTTGGGAAGCTGGAAATAGGACAACCACTGTGAATCCGATCTATGTAGTGAAACCCTGTAGGCTTGTACTAAAAGAAAAAGAATATTTGAAATGGAGCAATTAGTTATATGGCATCTTATATCTTGATTTTAAAGTAAGAAATAAAAGACTTGTTATATTCAAGTATGTACAATATACAGCCAAAAGACTTTGAAAACAGTATTCAAAAGTAGTCTGATCCTATTTTTCCAAAGTTTCACCTTAGAATATCTACGTAGATGTTAGTACAGATTAAGTAATCTCAGTACAATGAACTTCCATTAGCCTAGAGAAAATTCTGGACCAGAATTCTCAACAGATAGCCAGAAAATGTCTGGGAACCCCTGGGACCCTTTCTGGGAATCTACACAATCAAAACTCTTTTTCTTTTTTATATTAGCACATGTTTGCACTACATAGAAATTACTTTCAGCTTGGCAGGCTGGATCAAGATATGATATGTATATTTCTCAAAGCTTTTTTCCTAATGCTAAGAATTTGTCCTTTCCACTCTCCTTTTGTGAGTGTACAGTGGAATTTCCCAGATGTGTTATCCATCTTGCAGTACACTGAATACAGGAGCCGAAATGACAAGCTGTGTTCTACTAAACCAAATGCTAAAAAGATTTTTAAAAAGCACAAAAAAGGCACAAGTATTTTTGCTTTTTTAGAAACCAACTGTATTTCTGTTTAAAATATATTTTAGAATATCTTTTATTATAATTCTTTTAAAGTAAATCGATAAACATTTCTTTTGAAATAAAATAATTATTTTAAACTTTTAAATATTGTAAATAGTGATAACAGTATCCATGTAAACAAATATGCTTTGAAATCTGAACTATTTTTAAGCACGTAAAGGAGTGCTCAACCAAACAATTTGAAGACTTGCTAAGTGGCCAGACACTTTTAAATCAAGATTGAAGACTTTCAAATAGCCTGTATGATAGTAATGGAACTGTTGTATTGACATATGGTTTATATTTATGAACATTTGTTCAGTCTCCTTTTAAAACTTTTCTTGAGATACAATTTAAATATCCATTTAGAAACATCTAAATAATTTTAGTGGGCTGGGGAGATGGCTCAGTAGAATAAGTGCTTCCCTGGCAAGCTTAAAGGCCTGAGTTCAATACCGGTTCCACCACAGAAGAAATAAAATAAATAAATAAATAAATAAAATTTAAAAAAATTAAAAAATGAATAAATAATGTTGGCATTTAAGGAATGGTGTGAGGGTATGACAGCAGTATTGTTAGTGTCAGCAAGCCTCGCAACCTTTCTTGTAGGTGAAGTAAGTCAGTCGTAGATAACTCCGTGTTGCAGGATTCCCCTCATAGGAAATATGCAGAATAGACAAATTCGTAGAGACAGAGGTAGATAAGCAGTGCCCGGAACCGTGGAGGGGGTGGGAGGCACTGCTAAGGTGCAGAGTTGTTTGTTTTGGTTTTGAGGAACATGAAGATGTCATAATTCTAGATGACAATGATGGATGCACAATTCTGCTAATATGATAAAAACATTCAGTTTTATATTTTAAACTGGTGAATTGTATTTTATGTGACTTGCATTTCATTAAGGCTAATTTTTTTTTTTAATCCAAAAGAATCGATCAACAAAACAAGCAAAAATGTCATATATGTAAAGTTCTGCTAAGTTCTGTGTGATCACCTTCCCTTGATGTACCTGGTGTTTTCCAGGCAGACTAGTTCACTCTGGTTACCTTTTGCTCCCTCTCTTAGTCAAGAGAGAAAGAGGGAGTATGCTCTTATGGCTCTGGGTCAAGCGAAGTGTCTTAGCTTACCGGGTGCAGATCTACGAAGTTTGAATTCATCCAGTTGTGCCTGGCTTGTGTCTGGCTGCTGTGCTCAGCTTCTTCCTGCTGCAGCCCTTGGAAGGGAACCTGCTGTGCCCCTCTGGCAAGAAGGTTTGCTCTATAGTTGGGTGGTTCTGGCCCTAGCCTCTCTGCAGGGACTTCAGCTGCAGTTTCACCCCGGGCCTGTATGCCTGGCCTGTGCTGGATCTGGAGGGGTCAAGAGAGTAGGACAGAAGGACTCACTCACAAGTGGTCCTGGGCTGGGTCTGGAGAGATCCAGCAGGCAAAGGAGAGCACAAAAGCTCTCCCACACACTCGCTGGGCCTGGGCTTGGGCTGGGCCTGGAAGTTCTCACATGCCAGGACTGGGCAGTTCTGGAGGGGTTCGGAGGGGTCCTGAGAGCACGGCTGAAGGTCTCACTCACATGCCGGGCTTGGGCTGGGTCCGGAGGGATTCAGGGGAACAGGGGAGCCATATGTAAAGTAATTTAACAGAATTAGGGATGCTGAGGGATCCACTTTATGTTATAATCCAAAGAGAACACAGCTTCCAATTCAGATTTATCCTTATCGGTCACTAGCTGAACAGCCAACAGCGGGGCAAGTGCAAAGCCTGGGCAGACACAAAAATCTCTGTGCCATCAGAACCCCACCTGAGACTTCTCTAAGAGCAAGCTGGGCCGGTTGCTTTCCTCAGCAAAGGCTAAGATGGGATTCCAAGAACAAAGCAGGAGTGAGAGCAGGCCAAGGCTAATGGCAGAGCTTTGGGGCTTCCAGGAAGGGTGTTGGTGGTGCCATGGTCTAGGGCTGTGCCCTCTTTGCCCATGCTTGGGGGCATGCAGCCAGCACATGCATACTGCATACTGGCCCTGGGGACACTTGGTCCCATTTAAGACCCTTCAGTAGAGCTCCTCTGTGGAGCTGTGGGTAACATAAAGAATGGCAGTGTGTTAGGACTTTCTATTGGCCTGGCTCCTAACTCAATTTAAAGATTAATCAGAAAAATGATCTTTTTTTTTTTAATGTTCTGTGTTTTTTAAAGAAAATGTAAAATTTATTTTCTTTGAAATTTTGGTACTTAAACATTCTAGCCTTTCTGGGCTTTAAATAAATAATTGAATATATTCATACAATAATTTGTAACAGTGTTGAAAATTGTTCAGGGATAATAAGATAACAAATATATCATTTCCTGATGTACTTCCCTCTGTGACGTGTAATTAAAATGGCAGAT